CCAAACCCATTCAGTAACGAAGTCATAACTGTTTTTAAGATACTAAAGTCTGGGGTGTTTTGTTACACAACAAAGCAGCAAAGACTAACTGATGTACCCCCGCCACCACCACCACTTTAATCCACCCAAGTCACATTTCCAACTTTGTTTTCCAGAATTCCCCTATGAGCCAAAATTGCATGGTGTGTTGTATTTTACTTTTTATTCCCTAGAAATTCTTTGCACTTTCTTGAATATTTCCTCCTGAAATTTTCCTCTGCCTGAAATTTTCCTCTGCCATTTATACATACTTCATCTCTACCTAAGGAAATGTCACTCATCCTCCCCTCCTACAGAAAGTGTCACATATAAATGTAAAGAGGGGGAGAACAATTGGTTCACCAGAGTCCCTCATAGGAAGTGCATAGTGTCCTTAAGAAATGCCTTGGTGTGAACGGTAAGAGTCTGAAGGACATTGCATGGATTAGGATATAGGCTCCACTGTAGACACAGAAACCCAAAATATAAATGCAGTAAGAAGATTAAAGTTTCTCTCCCTAGCATGTAACATTCAGGGCATGATCCGTCAAGGACAGGCATAAGGATACCATTGTATCAGTCCATCTTGTTGCTCCACTATTCCTGTTGCCCTCATCTGCACAGTTCAAGGTTACTTGTTACCACCACATCCACATTCCAGCCAGATGGAAGCAGGAAAGTGAAAAGGAGAGAAGGGTCATTCCTTTAGGGGAAAAAAACAAATGTTGTACACATGAGTTCTGCTTACATCACATTGGCCAGAGTGGTAGTCATTCAATTATATCTGGCTGCACAGGAGGATAATAAAATGGAATGTTATCTTGGCACTCAAATATTCTACTATTACTATAAAAGAAGGGAAGAACAAATATGGAAAACAGTAGTAGCCTCTACCACAAGTAAGACTAAGTATACTAGCTAAAACACTATTTATAAGGCAAGAAGAGGAATTAGCTTTGTTCCTGATAGGAGGGAGAGAGAGAAGGAGAGGAGAGAAAGAATCCAGGAAAATGGTGGAAGCTATGACTCTTCTCTGAAGCCTTTAACTTTTTATACAGCCTCTAAATTCTTGGGATGTGAAGCTCTGTGGTAATTAGTGAAAAAACTAGTGATTCTTTAAGGTAAAATGGAGTATATGCCTGGATGCAAGACTTAGAGGAAAAGAGTCATAATTGTGTAAAACACCAGAACCTAAGAAGACGATCAAAAGTTTTGAACATAACTGTACTTTGCAATTGGGCTTTTGATGCAATCTTACATTGATTTCATAAGATGGGAGATAGGAGGCCCTAGCTGACACATGAGTACCACCACAGTTCCTTTTATTTATTTATTTATACATACTTATTAATTTGTAATCCTCACTTGAGGATATTTTTCCCATTGATTTTTAGAGGCTGGAAGGGAGAGAGACAGAGAGACAGAGAGAAACACTGATGTAAGAGAGAGACATTGATTGGTTGCCTCCCGTATGACCCCAACCAGGGCCAGGAGCCTGCAACCAAGGTACGTGCCCTTGACCAGAATCAGACCAGGGACCCTTCAAGTCCTCAAGCCAACGTTCTATCCACTGAGCCAAACTGGCTAGGGCCACAGTTCCTTTTAAAATCTACAACTTATAAAAAAAAAACAACGGTGCTAGAGTCAGAATTATGCATAGTTAAAAAACATGGTTTCTTTTTAAAAAAAGCAGTGTAGAGTTCCTAATTATGCTACTTATAGCAACTATAAAAGTAGCAATTTGAGAGAACTTTTAGTTGGGCTTAAATTAACACAGTGTTAGTTTTAGCAACTGAAAATAGACATGAAGTATGAATCACTTTCTTAACTGAAATGTAGGCTAAATGTAACCATCACAGATTTTAAGAATTTCACCTAAATTTCCTCTCAGTCACATTTTGTGTACTGACACTGAGACATCAGTAAAGGAAACAGGGTGAAATGGCCAATTTCTGTCTTTTCAAGAGAGTCCAAATGGACCATAGTTATAATACTAGTGGAAATGATAGCACAGATGGACAACTGTGCACTTCTGATAGATTGCAATGTGCCTGATTACAAAATAATTCATTGCTGAATAGGCTCATCACTAGTATAAACTCTCATAGAGAAAGTTTATTTAGAACCAAATAAACCTAAACCAAGAGTCATTGAGAGAACCCTGAGTAAGCTTGCAGGTGTCACTTTTAACGGAAAGTAATTTTTCGGATGTTAACAAGGTACACCACAAGAAGGCCCTCATAGAAGAAATTTCTTGTTGAACAGGTTAGTTCTGCCCTGCCTCTGTAAGTTGTAGGAGAACAAAAGTTGATAATGTCTGGTCAACTAAGAAATGCAGAACATGACCCTGTCCTATTTGAGCTACTGGCAGGTATTTCAGTTTTCTGCCCAGATGTTCAGGCAACCTCTATGTTACTAATTGCTGACATGTAGAATTCAAAAATTTGTCTGAATATTTCACATTATTAGCAGTATAATAAATATGGGAATACCTATTACACTCAGACAATATTCCTTTTCTACGCACACCATGATTTGTAAGTGCTTATGTCAGTTATATTTTAAATATGTTGAAAGTAATATATAACAAAATGTTTCAGCTTCTAACAAAAGAGAATCCCTTTATCTCCTGTGAGAGGATTCAACGTCTCTGGATTATGCCAATTACTACTTTGGTGCCTTGTTACCACAGTCTAATATCTCCATCGCTGGACAGGACTCAGATGGCTACTCCCCTTCCAGCCTTTGGGGACCCAGAGACATCTCTGTAGTCTTGGAGTGCACTCTCCTGAGTGCTTATTTTCCAGAAATACTGGTAACTTCCAGATACCTGCTTTCTCCCATTTCCATTACCTATGGTACAATGTTGTAAACTGGAATTCCAGGCCTGGATAGATCTTCCAGACAAAAAATGAACAAGGAAACAGAGACTCTAACTGACACACTGGATCAGATGGATTTAAGTGACGTTTATAGAACATTTCAACCCAAAACTGCAAAGTATATATTCTTCTCAAGTGTACATGGGTCAGTCTCAAAGATAGACCACATGTTAGAACAGAGAACAACAAGAAAAGCCCTGAGTAAGTAGAAGGAAGGAAATAATAAAGATTAGAGCAGAAATAAATAACATAGAGACTAAAAGAAGAATAAAAAAGGTCAATGGAACCAAGAGCTGGTTCTTTGAAAAGATAAACAAGATTAATAAACCTTTAGCCAGACTCATCAAGAAACAAAGAGAGAAGACCCAAATAATTAAAATCAGAAATGAAAGTGGTGAAGCAACAACTGACATCACAGAAATACAAAGGATTGTAAGAAAATATTGCGAGCAACTATTTGCCAACAAGCTGGACAATGTGGATGAAATGGTCAAATTCCTACGAAAATACAACCTTCCAAAACTGAATCAGGAAGAATGAGAAAACATGAATAGGCCAATAACAACTGAGGAAATTGAAGCAGTAATCAAAAAACTCTTAGCAAACAAAAGCCCTGGTCCAGATGGGTTACAGGGGAGTTTTTCCAAACATTCAAAGAAGAACTAACACCTATCCTCCTCAAACTATTCCAAAAAATCCAAGAGGAAGGAACACTTCTAACCTCTTTTTATGAAGCCAGCGTTATACTAATCCCCAAACCAGATGAAGACACTATAAAGAAAGAGAATTACAAGCCAATATCCCTGATGAATATAGATGCTAAAATCCTCAACAAAATTTAGCAAATTGCATCCAGCAATATATTTAAAAGATCCTACACCATGA